CCTCAATGCCACTGAAAACATGCAGGCCTCCGAGAATATACGGTAGGAAAATCTCATTCCAAATTTAGTTTATAAAGATAATATTAGCCATCAACTTAAAAACATAGATTCTTTGTCACTGAAAATGGGCGGTTTAAATGTCAAACTGCCTTCTTACTATGAGAACTTCTTAGAATGGTCAATTAAAACATCGTCAGTCTTAATAGCTATATCTGAGCTAGAAAATATCTATACAAAAATGTAAACACTTAAAACTGACAGAACAAACCAATGGAGAAGTAACATTTTGAACAATTTGAGTGACAGTGAAAAGTACGCCTATGAACCAGCCTCCGAAAAAAAGGAGCCTCAAACTGGTTAAACGCACTGCCACTTAGCAGATATAATTCAACCTCAATAAATCCGAATTCCGGGATGAAATTCATCTCAGATATGAATGGTAACCAACCAACGTTCCACTCACATGTGCATGTGGTCAATCTATCGACTATACCCACGCCCTTCACTGTGCGAAGGGTGGAAACACCCACATAAGGCATGAAAAAATGAGAGATACCTTTGCCAATCTCATGAGCGAGGTTTGCTATGATGTTGAAATCGAGCCGAAACTTCAGTCGATGCAAGGCGAGAGATTGTGAACAATCCAACCACAACTGATGAAGACGCTCGATTAGATGTAAAAGCACACGGATTATAGGGGCTCAAGGTTTAGCCGAACTTGTCAAAATCTTCAACCCGCACGCAAAAACTTCACTAAGATTACTGAAAGACGCCTATAAGTACCACGAATCACTAAAAAAATCAAATTACCAACAGATTTGTACAAGTCGAACAGAGCAGCTTCTGCCCGCTCCTTTTTGACTGCACCGGTGGTGCCGCACCGGGAGCTACGCAGGCAATGCAGCGCATAGCTGAAAAACTTAGTGAAAAAGGCACGAAAGCTACTCAGGAACAATAAACTATATAAGAACTAAGATAAGCTTCGCGCTGCTCAGGAGCGCTATTCTTTGTATGCGGAGGTGCAGATCACTGCGTAAGACACAATTCATAGACAATTCAATTAGTGCTATTATAGAGAAGGGACGGTTGAAGTAAATATCTTTAATGAAAACGCATTCAATGCTGACTTGACTTAATTCCTGCAATATTGTTTTTTGATGTATTTATATAATGCTGGTATGGGCCCTATCTAGCTTGTGCACGACCGTACCTAAACAGAAGGGCCCTTTTTATAATTTCACTTTTTTTTAAGACGGACTAATTTGCAACAATAAAACCTGTAGTCTGTAATTAATTAACTTTTACACGCCCTTACGCTGCTTTTCGGGATACGTCTCATCAATCAGCTCACTTTTAAACACGGAAGACGCCATCATTTTTGGCGATCTCAATACATACTATTCACTCGGTTTCTCGAGCTTAAACGAAAATGTTAGAGGAACCAATATTTTCGAGGAAATTGACGACTGCAATTTTTTACAGAAATGAATTGCAGACGATGGGAATACAGTTTGAAATTTGAAAAGCCTGCGAACAGTTTTTGACAACATTATCATTCTCAAATATTATGGATGTCATGTATAGGCATCGAAATGCCAGCTCATTGTAAATGATGAAAAATACAACGAAGCGATCAAAGTATTCAACACTACCGAAATTAAAATGAAGAAACGCGCCAGAGTACTTGGTTTTGTCATAGGATCCGAGACTGAATGTAAAACTTTCTTAGAAAACATCACCGCAAATCGTGTACTCCTCCCACACCAAATTGGTACATAAAAAATCATTTTTAGCCAGTACTACCCTCAATGCCGCTGAAAACATGCAGGCCTTCGAGAATATACGGTAGGAAAATCTCATTCCAAATTTAGTTTATAAAGATAATATTAGCCATCAACTTAAAAACATCGCTTCTTTGCCACTGAAAACGGTCGGTTTAAATATCAAAGTACCCTCCTACTATGAAAACTTCTTAGAATGGTCAACTAAAACATCGTCAGTCTTAACAGCTATATCTGAGCAAGAAAATATCTATACAAAAATGTAAACACTTAAAACTGACAGAACAAACCAATGGAGAAGTAACATTTTGAACAATTTGAGTGACAGTGAAAAGTACGCTTATGAACCAGCCTCCGAAAAAAAGGAGCCTCAAACTGGTTAAACGCACTGCCACTTAGCAGATATAATTCAACCTCAATAAATCCGAATTCCGGGATGAAATTCATCTCAGATATGGATGGTAACCAACCAACGTTCCACTCACATGTGCATGTGGTCAATCTGTCGACTATACCCACGCCCTTCACTGTGCGAAGGGTGGATACACCCACATAAGGCATGAAAAAATGAGAGATACCTTTGCCAATCTCATGAGCGAGGTTTGCTATGATGTTGAAATCGAGCCGAAACTTCAGTCGGTGCAAGGCGAGAGCATTGTGAACAATCCAACCACAACTGATGAAGACGCTCGATTAGATGTAAAAGCACACGGATTATAGGGGCTCAAGGTTTAGCCGAACTTGTCAAAATCTTCAACCCGCACGCAAAAACTTCACTAAGATTACTGAAAGACGCCTATAAGTACCACGAATCACTAAAAAAATCAAATTACCAACAGATTTGTACAAGTCGAACAGAGCAGCTTCTGCCCGCTCCTTTTTGACTGCACCGGTGGTGCCGCACCGGGAGCTACGCAGGCAATGCAGCGCATAGCTGAAAAACTTAGTGAAAAAGGCACGAAAGCTACTCAGGAACAATGAACTTTATAAGAACTAAGATAAGCTTCGCGCTGCTCAGGAGCGCTATTCTTTGTATGCGGAGGTGCAGATCACTGCGTAAGACACAATTCATAGACAATTCAATTAGTGCTATTATAGAGAAGGGACGGTTGAAGTAAATATCTTTAATGAAAACGCATTCAATGCTGACTTGACTTAATTCCTGCAATATTGTTTTTTGATGTATTTATATAATGCTGGTATGGGCCCTATCTAGCTTGTGCACGACCGTACCTAAACAGAAGGGCCCTTTTTATAATTTCACTTTTTTTAAGACGGACTAATTTGCAACAATAAAACCTGTAGTCTGTAATTAATTAACTTTTACACGCCCTTACGCTGCTTTTCGGGATACGTCTCATCAATCAGCTCACTTTTAAACACGGAAGACGCTATCATTTTTGGCGATCTCAATACATACTATTCACTCGGTTTCTCGAGCTTAAACGAAAATGTTAGAGGAACCAATATTTTCGAGGAAATTGACGACTGCATTTTTTTACAGAAATGAATTGCAGACGATGGGAACACAGTTTGAAATTTGAAAGCCTGCGAACAGTTTTTGACAACATTATCATTCTCAAATATTATGGATGTCATGTAAAGGCATCGAAATGCCAGCTCATTGTAAATGATGAAAAATACAACGAAGCGATCAAAGTATTCAAAACTACCGAAATTAAAATGAAGAAACGCGCCCGAGTACTTGGTTTTGTCATAGGATCCGAGACTGAATGTAAAACTTTCTTAGAAAACATCACCGCAAATCGTGTACTCCTCCCACACCAAATTGGTACATAAAAAATCATTTTTAGCCAGTACTACCCTCAATGCCGCTGAAAACATGCAGGCCTTCGAGAATATACGGTAGGAAAATCTCATTCCAAATTTAGTTTATAAAGATAATATTAGCCATCAACTTAAAAACATCGCTTCTTTGCCACTGAAAACGGTCGGTTTAAATATCAAAGTACCCTCCTACTATGAAAACTTCTTAGAATGGTCAACTAAAACATCGTCAGTCTTAACAGCTATATCTGAGCAAGAAAATATCTATACAAAAATGTAAACACTTAAAACTGACAAAACAAACCAATGGAGAAGTAACACTTTGAACAACTTGAGTGACTATGAAAAATACGCTTATGAGCTAGCCTCCGAAAAAAAGGAGCCTCAAACTGGTTAAACGCACTGCCCTTTTAGATATAATTTCAACCTCAATAAATCCGAATTCCGGGATGAAATTCATCTCAGATATGGATGGGAACCATCCAATGTTCCACTCAATGTGCATATGGTCAATATGTCGATTTTACCCACGCCCTTCACTGTGCGAATGGTGGATTCACCCTTATAAAGCATGAAAGAATGAGAGATACCTTTGCCAATCTCATGAGCGAGGTTTGCTATGATGTTGAAATCGAGCCGAAACTTCAGTCCTTGCAAGGCGAGAGCTTTGTGAACAAATCAACCACAACTGACGAAGACGCTCGATTAGATGTAAAAGCATACGGATTATAGGGGCTCAAGGCTTAGCCGAACTTGTCAAAATCTTCAACCCGCACGCAAAAACTTCACTAAGACTACTGAAAGACGCCTATAAGTACCACGAATCACTAAAAAACTCAAATTACCAACAGAATTGTACAAGTCGAACAGAGCAGCTTGCGTTCTGGAGTCTTGAGTACCTTCTTCGCATCTTCCAGTCAAAATCCCAGCAATATTCTGCATATGGAAGTGACTACCCCCAATTTACACACCCATACACTACTTCTCTAACCCCAATTGACCTGTGGCTATGGCCGACTGAAGTCGCAAATTTTCTAGGACTCGATTTGAGCATGCAGGAAGCTTCACCTGGGGACTAACAACAACATGGAGTCAGCGTCTACATTTTTGCAGTTTTTCAGATTTCATTGTCATCCTACTTGTTCTCAGCTCGTTTGCATTTTTACCTTTGTTCGTACAAGCATTGTTTAAACCAGGTCGGTCGCTAGTCGTTGTCTGAGTATCTCCACTCATAATTTATCTCTATCTCTTAATCGCAACAAGTAGGCTAACAAGTTGTTTCACCCTATCAGAAAATTACTTTTCGGATGAGTGGTCAGCTTTGTGGCATTTGTGTGAGTGAACCCCGGTTTTCGGGCGAATACTCCTAATTTTAAATTTCGATTGAGTGAACCGGAACCGTTTGTTTAAAAAGATGTCAATTTTTAGAAGAAAATGGCTGTTAAATACAAAAACGCGCGGATTTTGACCTTCGTGATGGCATTTGTATGCGCACTTCTGGGTGTGGCCTTATTTGTCACGTCGATAACTTTCCTCACTTATCCAAATTTTATTGAGTGGTACATCCAGATTACCAAAGTGGAAATCGTCTGCCGTATAGCGATTGGACTGTCGGTTCTGATTTTTGTCGCCGGAGCCGTTAATTTGGCTGCTACTTTTCGGGTTAGTCAATTAAAATGAGTTTTGTAAGCTGTTCTTTGACTTGATGTAAATAATGGGTAGCAGTTCAATGTAAATAGTTAATTCTTTTATTGATAGGAGGATCTCACACTCATCAAAGTTTCCATTGCTCTGATGGTTATCGCTTTTGTACTGAATGCGATCTGCATCATCGTTGCCTTCGTCATGGAGTTTAGAGCTCAGGAAGACGTGAGCGATCAAATTTACGCAAAAATGCGAAAATATGGACAGGAGGAATTCCAAATGGCTACCGATACCTGGGATTTTTTCCAGAAGACCCGTCAATGTTGTGGGTCAGATGGCCCTGGTGACTGGAAGTTTACCCCTTTTTACGAAGATGGCAACCAAGATCAACTGATTCCGCGGAGTTGCTGCAAAGCGTATGCAACCGCCACGCCAGTTGAACCTTCCTGTCAGAAAATGTCAGACCCTTCTCTGTATTACACTGAAGGTTGTCGGAGCTCAGTAAATGAACTGTTGTGGGCGTTCATTGGTGTTATTGTAGTTGTTTTGGCTATTTGTAGCGTCTGTGAGATTGTAGGATCCATCTCGTCGTGGATGCTGGTTAAAGAACTTTCGAAAGACGATGAGCCCTATGAATTCAATCCCCCTCCGACCACAGCGCCGAAATTGAACAATTACTCTGGAACTTTGAGGTCGCAATTCAGTGGAGTGGGTAGTGAATCCAGTCACAGGCCACGCCCACAACCTGAACCTCCTATCTCCGAGACCGGAAGTGTGCGAAGCGGAAGAAGTGGTCGAAGTGGGCCAAGGTCTGAGGATGGACGCGGTGGCTTCACCCGAAACCACCATAATTTTATAAATCAACAGCCTAAATTCAATCAACAAATGTCAGTGGCATCGCGACAAGAGGGAGAATATCAACCTCAATTGCCGCCTCCTCCCCCACCACCACCGGTTCGGTACAGTCCAGTGCCAGCTGATGACAACGAAGACTTCGATGTTTAGCTTAGAACTGAATCAAGCTTAATTCCTTCATTTCTATACTTTTTTATAGTTTCTTATTTGAAAGCATATCTGTCACCAGCAACATTTCAAACTATGCATATCAGTAAAAGTTTCAATGATCCATTTTCAAGTTCAAAAAATTTGTAAAAAAAAATAGTTGTGCGTTTCTCTTATCTAATTTACTCGTTGAGTTTCATTGATCTGTAAAGAACTATAAATTACCTCGATATGTATAAGAGAGCGCATATTTTAGACTTAAGTTGGTTTAAAGTGAAAGCTTAAAAGTATGCACAAATTTAAATCTACCTTTTCACATAAATTAAAACATAACTGCACGTTTTTGTTCATTTTTCTGTAAATACATTTTTAAGCAATTGTTTTAAAAATTAATTGTTTCTCTTAACTCAGTTTTATGTGTTAGTTCTGTCTTGATAGACTCCGGACAAGAACACAATCTTGCAGATGAATTTAGCATTCGTGTCTCAATCCTTGCTGCAAAGAATCTGAAAGTATGCTGAAGAAAAAAAAATTAATAATTTGTAACAGTCTGAGGCGAGGGATTTAGGGAGCGTATCCTAAATACCGTGGTGGGGTTGGATGGTTCATGTCCAAGTTGAAGACCTAGTTTTTTCATGTACTTTTTTTCTTGAGGCTGTCCTGGTGTTGTAAGACAGAAAATATACATTACATTTGGTTAATGTTCGCCGTTCTTTTTGTTTGCGTGAGCAAGTGACTTGTTCATTTGTAAGAAACTGAACTTGCTTTACTATTGAACCTCAACGACTTCTAGGCCCATTCCCCCTTGGTCTAATGATAAAGCGGGTGCAAAGCTTTTGTTATAGTACGAATTATCTTTTTTTCAACCTAAGTCTTAAATATTGTTGCGACAGAATGTCTTCATTTTGATCAAGAACCAGCCATTAAGTACAGCCAATGCTAAGGATATTAACACAGACTATTATATTACAAATAGCAGTTTAGATTCAGTGTATCATAGATCTGTAGCGTAGAGGTAGGGAAGGATGCCCACAGCTAAATAAGAGGGTTCGAACCTCGGCAGGTTCGTCGGATGTTTTTAATGAACTTTTTCGTATGCTAGTTGAAATGCGTCCACTCCATTAAATTGAGGCATGTTAGTTGGTAAGTTTTTTTTTGCAAATTGACTGGTACTGCTAATGCGTCATAATTGCATCACTAAGCAATCATGTATACTCAGAATTGGCGTGCGTCACTTAAGAAATTTTGTAGACTCAAAGTTTAACTCATTCAGTTTTTCCCAGTAGCGTTATTTCCCAGTAGCGCATGAATTCTGGAATTTTTTGGACCCTTGAGTGTCTGCTTATTTTTTGTCGGTTTAGTTTCTTATGTATGTAATTTTCATCTGATTGATTAATTTTTACTCTAATCGAAAGTCGTTCTATGATTTGTAAGTTAAGTAACTCTGATTCTGAATATTTATAATAATGTGGTTCATGCGAATCGCAGTGGAGCTATCAGTAGGCCGTAGCGGGCATGTCGTAGAATAGTACATTTGCATTATCTCCCCACATTTCAGACTGTTCGGTTTTGTTGAGCGACATTTTTTGCGACTCAAGGTCGTTTTTTTGCGTCTTGAACTTTCACGACGTACCAATATTGCAGCCGAAATTGGTCAGGCTGAGGTAAACCTGAAGCTAGATCACAAACTATCACTGCCATGGCATGGGATCGACTGCACGATCTGACGATTTCAAAGTGAACGCCTTACCACTATGCTAAGTGCCTCTTAAATAATTTCCCTTTTTTATTCTTTTTCGTTCAAAAGGTTTAAGCGTATTTTACATAGCCTTAGTCGCTGTGTCGTTTGAATAGCAAAATATGTGTTAGCCAATCGTTTCAGGTGAGGCTGGACGTCCTAATTATAATTATAACATAAACTTAATTAAAATTATACTAAAATTATTATTAAAAAAATTATTATTAATTTAAAATTATGATAATAAACTAATTTATAGGCATTTTTTGGTAAGCTCAACGGGCGTCTTACCTAGTATTTAACGCTCATTCTCCGCTCGGTAACTGATTCTGAATGCTTAATTGATGCTGTTGATTGCTTTTTGGGTTTTAATTTTAAGAATCTTTAATAGGTCGTTATGATTCTTTTTTTTTCAGGAACAGTCTTAAAATTCAATGAAGCTCGAATTTACTTTTTCTTGGGTTGACATTTGATTTCTTTTCAAATTCAGTTCATTTTTCAAAGTTTACTTGAAGTTAAGGCTCCAAGATCAAAACAATAAAAAAAACTAGTTGTAAATCATCATTCAGTTCAGTTCAAGCCTTTGCTTAAATTGAAGAGAAAAAAGTAAATATCGAGTTATAAGACATTTCAAATTTTCAAGGCAAGAGACAATTCGTTAAAGTTGAAGCTCACAGAGAAAATCAAAAAGTAGGTATCAATTCATAAGTCTAATTGGAGTTTAAAGTGAACAGAGCTTTTTCTGACAAAGTTAGAGAAAATCAAAAAAGTGGCATCAAGTCATGGTTCAATTCAAAACATAAGAAAAAATGACAACATTCTTAAGTTGAAGGATTTATTTCAGACTTTAAGTCAAAAAAGCATTTTATGTGTTGAAGGAGAAGGCAAAAGACACCGGATGGGAAAGCAGTTGTTAGGATTAATCAAATGTTTTGGAACAATTTGTGACTTAACTTGCGGTTACGGTTGAACATACATCGCTATTCTGCTAAAAAAAAGAGTTTTAACAATTTTTAGTGTCGTGAGGACTCCCATAATAAAAAATATGAAAAGTCTGCCAGAAGTCAACCAGATTTGACAGCAAAGTTCACCATTAGTAGCCCAATGTCTATATTGGAGGCGTATCTGGCAAGGCAAGCTCTTCTTGCCATCTGAAAATTCGGGTCAGCCTCGTAATGAGAAGATTCTTTCACGTGGATGTTCAAAAGAGAAGTATCCAACTTGTTTTCGAACTGCTTTTGATCGTGTGTTAAACAGAATAATCGTAAAGCAGTGCTGGGAAGAATTTCAATTATTTTTCGCACAAAGCTTTTATAAAAAGTGATCTTTTCAAAATTGTTTGCCCGCAACAGATGCATATTTTTTCAAATCCAAAGAACAGGAAAAAACAGCAAGTTACTCGAAATTACCTACCATCAATGAGTGCAGAACTAGCAGACGATGTAGTGTTTTCGGGTGTTTCGTGTTTTTTGGTCTTGCTTCCTTCAGTCGACAACTCTTAATTGAACTTGATATAAAAATATATCCGTAAAACGTTATAATTTTTCTAGTCAAACGTACTAACCATCAAAAGAGGGGTGGGGGATAATTTTTTTGGATTCGTAGTTTTCAATTGGCTTGTGTTCTAATTTCGACAAATCCAAATTTGTCTTTTTTTAAAATATTCCGCAACAAAAGGTCATAGTTATCTAAATTAAAAAAAAAATTGCTCAGCAAAAGAATTCTAAAAATACTAGCCGTGATTACAATTAGATGTAGGCTCCAAATATGAAGATGAAACTGACATCCATCTTGCTGCGCGTCTGTTCGCAGTTGGGGTTTCTTCTTCTGATGACGACTGCATCTCTGTGTTGCTGTCCCCGCGTTTTTGCCAATTGAGCCGGCCGTTTCTGTGACGCTTTGATTTTTCGTTCGTTTGTCTTTTCACCCCTTTTTTGACCAATTTGCCTCTGCTTCGTTGCTTTTCGTCATGTTGAAGGTGTCAGCGGAATGTAATGCTCCGTTTTTATTCGTTCAAGGAAGGACCCATCCAGTGGTTGATTGGAAGGTGATTGCAGTTTCAGATGAGCAACACGATGTCATAGCTTGCCTAGAAGTAAGATCCTTGAATTAATCTATACTGTGGCACTCATTCTTTGGTGGCATTTTTGAAGCTTTCTTTGGTGGCATTTTTAAAAAACTACAAAGCGTGAGAATGGAGAACAAACAAATTTTGCAAAATTTAAGATTTTGCGTCAAAGTACCTGTTAGGCGTCCGCCGGTGAGGAGGATTTCTCTGGTATGAGCAGGGGTATTTACCAGAACATTTGAACCATTGGGGTGGTAATCACTGCTCGTAGTTCTTAGTTGTACTAGACCTTAGCCAGTCGCACCAGCTTGAAGTCATTGCCAGCCGAGCATTGTTCAAGTAAAAACTGCCCGGAAAATTAGGTTAAAAAAACTTTTTCTGGTTATATGAAGCTTTAATTCGCTAAATAAGGTTTAGCTTCGTCCAATGAACTCTGAATTTCAAATTGAAAAGATTATATTTCAACCTCCCATGTGTAAAGATTGTGTTATTTAACTTCCCATATGTAGTATTTCTTAATCCAAACCTCCCATTTTTTGGATTTTCTGCAGCAATTGTTACCAATTTTGGAAGAACTTTGCGTGAAATTATAATTTGCGCTTTCAATAAATCTAACTCAAATTGAGAAAACTTGATAATTAGACAAAATTATACTGCGTTAAAAACATTTTGAAATACCTTTTTCGGAACCGTTAATGTCAACCGTTAATGTCACTGTGGTAATGAGACGTAATATTCAACGCCGCAATTTCACAGTCGATCGAGAACCTTTTCGGGGTTGCGTCACCGATAAGCAATTTAAAAGCAGTTAGGAGTCTGCTATATATTGATAAGCGTTTAGTTCTGAGCTGGGCGTAAACGCAAGTTGGATAAAATCGTCAACCCAGGAAAAGTTTTTAAGGTATCGCCTACCACCCAGATTTTGTTGTACAACTTGAGTGCGTTCAGGTTCTCAATATCGCCAAAATTGATATGCATTCCGAATTTTGTTTTCCGCTATCAAGGAGACAAAATTGCTTATAACGATCTGGTATTCCGAAGTGACGGTCATCTGTGGCAATAGTGCGCAAGGACAGTTGGGTTGCCCTGTCGTTCTGCACCAATTGCAAACTAGCTTCAATGATCTGGCTGTTTGCCCAATTTAATTGAATCTTAACTGTCTCCTTCTTTTGATGAGCTGTGAAACTTCCGAGCGTCCTGCGTTGATTTCCTGACTATTCTCATTGCTGTTTGAAATAATTTCCCCCCAAAGTGATGAAAGTTTTCGGAAACTTATGTGATCTCCATTTGCTGCAGAGCCAGTGTGTTGTTGCCTTTGTATCGCGCTGTTTTGAAATTCTTGACCGCAAAAACTAAAAACTGTTTGGTTTGGCCTTTTGGTGAGATTCCGTCCCTTCCATGAGTTCAAAATTGAGATATTGCGAAAAGTATGCATTTTTTTATTGAGATGTTCTAATTCAATATCATATTAACAGTAAATTAAATACGTGGTGGCAGTATGTTAATCCTAAAAAAGAGTCCATTTTGAATTTGGTTATCTTACATTGTTAGTTAAAAGCGTGAAACTAAATAATTGAGGTATCATTACTCAGATTTGCTTCTGATTTTTTTTGATCATGTCTTTATTTCGTAATCCATGTGATCTTTTTAATTGGCATGGGGTCTTATGGTACAGGTGATTTTAGTACATGTTATATTTTGGTACGGCATGATTTGTCATGAGAGCTTTTGGAGCCTGACACTCCCGGGAGCCTGACGCTCAAAAATCACCACCAAGTTTGGGATCCTTTGGGTGGTCACGTTATAGCATATTTGTGCCTGTCTTACATGTTTCGTATTTGTAAATTAAAAAGAAAACTATTTTCATACAAAACTTAAACAACAAAAATCCGAGGAAATGTCAATATTGACTAAAAATTTATGGAACTCTACAATAAAATCTTTGAAACCCGGGTGTTTAAATGTTGCCGTATTTTTTACATAAGTTGTTAAATCTCCGATGCATTTTGTTGCCGTATTTTGAATCACGTAATTTTCAACACGCGCTCCAATTCACTCACTCACAGTACCTGAAAACCTGTTAGTTGAAAATTTTAAGCAGATTATCTTATAGCTGGAGAACTATTTCATTTTACCTGAGACTGCTCTTGACTATCATTATAATTTAAATTTAGAAAATAAGTGAATAAAGAATAATTTGGTGCGTTTCATCTCATTTTCTTCACGTTGCTAAAGAAGAAATTTGTTGACTCGTTGCTAAACCATGTTTTGCAAAAACGTAGGAAACAAAAATATGACCGAGGATAAGCTTTCTGATTTCTGTCTCTCGTAGCTTACTAAGTTCAAATTGAGTCTAAAGAAACTCTAAGGGAATCAAAGATTTTTTGTGTTTGACTTAATACTTGTGTTATGCCCTGAAGCACAACTTAAAAAAAATTTTCTTGAGAAAACTATTAGGTTAACGGCAAAAAATTGTTAGATTAAACTACGTGTTGGAATATGCCAAGTAGGTATATGTACTGAATTTGACACTCCCGGTCATTATCGTTATCTATAAAAAGCGTCATTATGTTTCAGATGAACTAAAATCAAGAAAAAATCGTTATCTTCACAAAAACTTTATTGCAATTTTTTTATGATTCTGTTTGATGAAATTGTGTCTCTTCTACTTTATAGGCAGAAATTCGAAAAAAACTGCATGCAATCTGTTTGAAATTTTTTTTTGCAAACTTGGGTTTTTGTATGGAAAAAACGCTTATCATGCTTTTTTCATGAATGAAAATTGTATAATTCTCATTTTTTGCATAAATTCCAATTCGTAAAAGGGAATTTTGTCATAAGAAGGTCAATCCGCGTCCCTATGAAAAAAGTCTTTAAGGGGGTTGTTTTGCCGTACAAATTTTTAAAAACCATTTGTTCAAAGTTTCAGCATTCAAATTTTTTTGAAAGTGTTAGGCAGAACAAACTGATTTTCCAAAAATTTGATAGAGAAGCTGATGACGATACGAGATAACGTAAAGTTGAAACTTCAATTTTCCAGTGAAATATTATAGGAATAATTCCTGTTTTTTTCTTTTAGAATTAATCCAAACGCAGCAGTGAAACTAAGTCAAATGATGGATATAATTGATTGAAAATAGCCATAGCTAGAAACTTGTGGCGTTGAAATGTTCAACTGAGTTCATTATTATTATGTTGTTGTTGTTGTTTGTAGCCGCAGCATCAGGGGTTGTCTAATTCGTGTCTTCATTACCGTTTATTTTCAGTTCTCCACAGTCAAAAGATTGATTGTTTCGTCTTGTCGTTAAAACAGTAACTGTGGCTTCCCAGGGTTCGCTACCAACAGTAAGGGCCCCCTTCTGACAATACTGAGTAAAGCCCGTTCTGGGCTGGCAGTTTTTGGTAAGGAGAACCGAGATAAACACCCGTGCCCCGTTTCAGGGGCAGTTTTTAATAATCCCGGAGAACCGAAAAAAATTTCTTATGTGCCCCATTATATTGGTGTGTTGAGCCATTTTGCGACTGCAATGGGGTTGTCCCATAGGTCGTTAAGTTCACTATAATCGTTTTTGTACGCAGTTGGTGATTATAACACAAATTAGATTTGTTTATCTCAAACTAATTCTCACCAATTTAAAATTTAGATAATCTAATTCAAAATAAAGATTGAATTAGGTTAATTTTTAATGCAATTAAATCTTTGAGATTGATTTTTTTAAAGTAAGTTGAGACCGGTATTCAGGATACTTAGTTCCTTGATGAGCAACTTAAAGTCCAAAAAAATCAAGGCTTTGTCTTTTTCACTAATATTTTCAAAACCTACAAAAAGCGTCATTATGTTTCAGTTGAACTAAAATTCGAAGCATAAAATCAACAAGTTAAGTTTTTGTTTTATTGAAGGTTTTCATCCGTAAATTGATAAAGTTGCAGCGTAAAAATTAGTTCCAAAGAAAACGGAAACATTTGTAAAAATAAATATTTCGTTTACTGATTGAATTTTAAAACAAAAAATTCAAATCATCTCGTGACTCAATATTCAATACATGCAATGCAAAATGATATATTGAAATTCCAATTGAGTAAAAACGGTTTTCGAAGCAAGTTATAAACAAAATTTATACTAAAAAAGATGCATCTTAATATTTTCATGTGCAGTCAGAGGCATGTAACCTTATCTATGGTTACTAAAAAAGCCAAAACTTCGCTGCAAAACAATTAAATTAACGACAATATAAGCAAGATAATCTGGTTGCCGCTCACTGGATTTTTTTTTCACCGCAGCTGTCATAGCAAAAACTAGGCAATCGAATGAAGAACTTTTCAGATAAAAAGAGATGCTTACATTTTCTCAATTTCCTTGTTTTTTGCTGGTAATAACTATTTTTTTGGTGTCGTGAATAGAACAAAATTAATTAGCCAAGATAATATGTAAACATAGTTTATTCGGCTTAGTATTCGCTTACCGTTCACCGGAATTTTCTGCGCAGAGTTACCTTTACAAAGCAATCATCGAACAAAAAGGCATCAAGTTCAAGTAACTAGCTCTTTAATTTTAGCTTAAAAACTGAAAACAATTTATCATGTGATTGGAACAAAAAAGATCATCCCAGAAGATATTGCCAAATTATTCGTCCAATTCGGACATTACAAGTCGCCTGATTTTCTCAAGTGATATCATCCGATATTGCGGCGGTCACTATTTTGTTGTTAATGTTGTTCGAACAAAGGACATTTTTTGCGTACTGGCTTTTAAATACAAAGATAAGTTGGCACTATTTTTTCGGACTATTTTAAATCGCCGGACAGTTTTTTCAATCATTTTCGTATTTTCCCGAACTGTTTCATATTGGAATATTTTTTGAGACAAGTCGCCTGATACCCTGAT